AATATATAATAATATATATATAATATAATATATATATATATAAGCAATGCAGAGCAATGAAACTACATATACAATGGACACGTTATTGCATAGCTTTGCATTGCACTGCGTTGTATTGGATTGCGTTCTGTTGTTTTAAACTGTATATATACAACACAATACAATGCAATACAATTCAACAAAAATACAATAGAATACAATAGAATACACTGCATTTACAAGTACAATTTACGTGTCACTGCCTTGCATTGCCTTGCCTTGCATTGCATCACTGTATATTGTATTGTATTGTACATTTACAATACAATACAATACAATACAATAAATACATTGCATTGCATCACACATCGACAAACAAACAAAACTTACCAGTATTGTCAAGCATCAAGGGGTGACGCCTGCTTGCGTGTGCTCTGGTAATCCCTAGAGACGAGGCCTGTTGACATTTGGATGTGGTTGTAGTTCTTTAGTCTAAACAGGAATTATGAATAAACTTAGCTGTCTTTATACGTGAATACAACAAAGCCTTAAACGCTTCCAAAAGGGAAAGCGTGCTTTATTACCCGATTGACGCCGCCCCGCCACAGCCGGCTACCTGTGATCGCAACTACATCTGTGTCTGAGAATATGTGTCTGTGTACAACAATAGATACTATTGGTATATCTGTGATCTACATGAAAAGGTATGTAGTTAAAGGTATTATACAATAGTGATCTAAATACAACAGCTACTACAACAGCTACCATGAATAACTGAAGAAAGTGGGCTCTTTTTCACCGGCTCCCCGCGGTCAGCCGAGGAGCTACCAGTGGTAGCTCCTCGGCTACCAACGGTTGTTACCTCGTGGTGATGTGCATCAATGTTTATAGTGCGATTAGTGTGTAAACACAATACTCCATTTGAACTTTCACCTTGGAAATTGTCAGTAATGTGTAGCCTACTACTCATAGGTCAAACCAAAGGGAATTATGAACATGTGCGGTTAAAGTGGGGCACCTTTCAGTTGTGATAAATACAAACATTTTAGCATTTCGTATACATGTCGTACAAAAGCACCTTAATTATATTTATTTGGTTCTTTTATTACCTGTACTCAAAATATGGACTGGACTGGGGGGATTTTGCCCTTTCTTGTAGAATTCTGGTTGGTTCTTATACGATGACAAAGTACAATACATAATATTTTTCAGAAATTTATTGGCTTCTAATCCAATCAGCAGCGGGGGGGTCGACCAAAAGTATACAGTTGTGAAGTAATTACACAGCACGGGCAGCTACTTTATATCCCATCGTAACCTGGCATATTTTTCGTCCCAAGATTTTCAAAATATCTGGAAACTATTTACAATAGAATGGGAAGCGAACTTCTACGACTTTTTTTTTGTGCATCTTGCTCTTAGCCTGGGCCCAGGGCCTGAGTCTGGGCCCAGGGCCGCCCTGGGCGGCCATTGACCTGAAGCAGTTTACTGTATGAATTTTTTCAGACTGAACATAAATAAGATATTTTTTAGGGACGGTGCATATATTTATATTTATATATAATACTTTTAAAAAGATTGTCCAGTATTCAATAAATGGCGCCAAAATGATCCGCAACATGTATAAATAGTCTATTTTTGTAGAAATATGTGCAAACCTCAAAGGCAAAATTGAGAATATTAGCTCTGTTTATACAAATTAAAACTTTGAAAAACTTGATTCTCAAAAATTTGGACCGGGCGGTTTTTTGTTTGATATTTTGTTAGGCCTGGCCAGATCCTCAAAAGTTTTACGTTCCATTAAAAAAAAACATGCTTTTCCGATAATGTAAAACCTAGGACTCTTCGACGACAAGCAATGATATAGAAATGGCTGACATCGTCAAAGAGGAGAGCCCAGTAGTATTGACCGATGATGAACAATGTTAGGACCAATGAGGATGACGCTCTTCAAACCACAAGGACTCAACATGGACAACGCAGCACATACAGATAAGTGTTTGAACGGTATATCGATTTTAAGTCAGGTTGATGTTATGTGTGTGGCTGAAACCTGGCATAACCCCACATTTCTTAATCATGTACGCTCGAACACACGCTATCATATACTACATCACACTACACGGCATAATATCTTACACCCTTCACACTGTGGTATTGGTATCTTTTCCAAACACCACCCATCGAATTTTCAACTTGTACATTCTTCACCGTACGAGGTATTCTTTGTGTGCTTTGGCATCCATATGGCCGTGTTCTACTTTCCACTCAAATCGCTTACTGAAGAAGACGCCAGGCGATACATGAATGCCCCCGAGATTGGCGGTTTCCAACCAGATGTCGTGTGGGGACATTTCAACTTCAAAGCCCGGAAGTATGGCCACGCATCTACAAATCACGGATTCCGATCCAGGCCAGCCAACACATACCGAATTCATCCGTGGTCTGGTGCGGCATTGGCTTACCCCCATCCTCGCTTCTCGACCGGATTATGACGGATAACCTGGTCCTTCTCGGTATTTCGTACTCTTAACTAACCCATTCCGCGGCACTACACGGCGCAGACCCGATTCGTACCACAGAGCAACTATGAGAGCCATACCATATGTTCATACATTGTATCATACGTACTTGCCATTTTTGAAATAAATATTATTATCCCTATCGATTTTAAGTCAGATTGTTATGTCTGTGGTTGAAGCCTGGCATGACACCACATTTCTTAATCATATACGCTTGAACACTCACTACCATATTCGACATCACACTACACGGCATAATATCTTACACCCTTCACACTGTTACCCTGCGTAATGCGTGGTACTTGGGCTATCTCCATGCTGGATGCTCAACTGGTACAGAACATGCGTATC